TGTGTGTGTGTGTGTGTGTGTGTGTGTGTGTGTGTGTGTGTGTGTAGTGAGGGAAGGAGGTCAGTCCCACACCCCACCATACTTGTGTACCCACAGCCCCTCCTTGCACCACCATGCATACCCCACACCCACACCCTTTCACACCCCATCCACTCTCCTCCCCACACACTCACAGCACCCCACAAACCCCATACCCACCCACATATCCACACACAACCCCACACACCTATCCACCCCCACAAACCCCACACACATCCACAAACACACCTGCAGCCCCCCATAAACCTATATCTACCTACCCCACAATATACAAAAGTAAGACTTGATTTTAAGCTATTATGCAATCACTTGTGTTCTGTGTACCCTACACAAATGCACGTAAATCAAGACAAAAATATTTTTTGAAATCAAATTAATGAATGTAATAGTAGATGTTTGATTTTTTAGAATGTAATTGGCTTTTTTCAGGTTCCAAGATGGCAAACCGCCTTGCCAAAAGGAGTACTTCTGGGGGCAAGGTGAGGGACTTCCAGTCCCAAGATGATGACTGGGGGCAGGGCACGTGTCAAGGGGCGGGCTTACACATGTGGCCCTTGACAGTTTGCCAAAACTCGTTAAGCGGCCCTCCAGCCGAAATAATTGTCTGTGCCTGATATAGTTGGATCAACAAAACTCTATTTTGTTGATTTTAGAGAAATAAAAAGAATCTCCCAAGTTATACCACCAGTTTAACCCACTTTTCTTTTTGTGTTAAAGTCTTCAGCTTTTACACTTTAACTAAGCTTCGTTTTATTAATAACTTTTTTCATTTTTCCAGTTACAAGGTGAGATCAAGACGGCTTTTATTTCTACAAAAGAGTATCATGCCTTTGGTTGTCTGAATTTTATAATTGGTGATTCAGAGGATAACATCCAGCTGATAATTGGGGTAAATATATTCACTTTAGTCTCAGCTTTTTTACTTAGAGAAACCACTTAAGTGGTTACTTTTAAGAATGTGTATAGCCCACTGACTTCAAGGGAACTGATCAAAGGGTTAAAATGATCCACATACTGAAGTACCTTGTTGTTTGGACTTAGTGTGGTTCCATAGAATATAGTTTCTATGAGGTTAATCCCAAACCTATTGAATACCATGTAGATTTTTTCTGAGGTCAGTGTGCTTTGATGTGGGCGTTCTGTCCTTCTTGGATGCAAAGTGGATGTTTGTTGCATGGTTTTGGAAGAACCAAAAATGTCCTTAAGAAGACAAAGGTATTTTTTATGTTGAGATTAGTCTGTTCTTGAAAACAGCTATCTTGATCTTTGAAATGTAATTATTCTACATAAAAAGACTGTGTACATGATTCACCAGACTTGCAGCTTTCCCAAAGCCTTTGTATATTAAAGGTCAATTAGTGAGACAAACATTTCAGATACCACAGTTTCTAACATACATTTTGCTTTTGCTTTTATTAATAGGGCAAAGGTAATTATGTACTCTCCAGATGGGAGGTAGACACTACTAAAAGGCTGGTTTCTGTCCAGAGTTTTGCTGATTCAAGCATAATTAAAGGTAAAATCATATATTTGTTTGGCAAAAAATAATCATAAGATTGTAGGAACTTAAATAAAAATGTTTCATGATACTAAATATACTGCCTGACCCAAGTTTATGCTTCAAAGTTGTTAAGATTTTCAGACAGCCTTTTTGCTATAAAGAATGGCAAGATATATAGTCTACAACTGGGTCTCCAAGTTTTAGAGTTGAATCCACCTTTTCTGTCTTTTAACTTGATTTCAAATATTTATGTTTAGCTGGGAAATGAGTGGGTGATTTTTGTCCAGCTATGTCATTTTTCTCCTTACAGACTTGATCTATTAAGTGCCAAGCACTCCGGCTTGATCCAGTAAAGCACTTAGGCATATGTTTAACTTTACACATGTAAATATTTTAATTGAAATTAAAAGATTAACAGGCTTATTCAGATGGGCAATGTTAAGCACATGCTTGTGTGTGTTCAGGATAAAGGGAATTGTGCAACTAGGATGACTGATGGTTTATGATGTGTTTTAAAAATTCCAAACAGTTTTAATGGGGTTTCTATAAAATAGTTGCTATTCAAACACATATTCCGTAAAAAAATATTTCAATGTGTATAGAATGCTCATTTGTTTGTTTTTTCTAGATGCAACAACATTTCAAGTTCTAGACAACTTATTGTTCGTTTTGGATAACGAGGCAAGTATCATTTCGTTGATTTTTGTTTGTTTGTTTGTTTTAAATTACTTTTACAATGACTTAGCAATTCTATTTAGAACACAGTAAAATTATTTTTAGCAGAATGTCTTGTTTTTTTAATAAAATAAAAAAGGTGCCCCTCCTTGATCTTAAGCTGTCTTAAGCTCATTAGAAATACTTTTAGATACAAAACATGTATGTACTGTGCTATAAATACATGGGTTTCGTTTGTCAACCAGTCAAAAAAAAAAGTCTTAATTTTGGCAGGAAAATACGGAGTAACTGAAATTTTTTTGTTCTCTTCTAGAACATTTTGAGCATGTGGGATGTTTATTCTCTTACGTTGATTTGGGATTGGCCTTCAATGCATATTAAAGAATTTCTTCTAACTACAGAATCAGATTCTTCCTCAGTCACGCGGTAAATGAAGAATTATAGTATCACTTTTTGACATGATAAAGTGGGGAGGGGTCTGTCAGTGCTGGAACAGTCCAATACTCATGTAGCTGGCTCCCAGTGGCATTGCCTTCTAGGAGGGACTAACACCCAATATAGCTTGTTCAGGTTCTGGACCCAGCACATAAGCATCAGGAAACTTGAAGACCTGAACAGTGTCTTAAAACAGGTCTTATTTGGTCTCTCCCTGTATTCCAGTGAGTCTTTTCAGGGTCCAGAACTAAAATTCAGGTCTAAGCATCCTAATCAATGGTCCACTGATAAGAACCGCGAGGCCTCCTTCTTGGTGACTTTCCCTCTCTTTGCCCTTTCATTGATATTAAGAAGTTCAAATTTCTTCCCCAGGGTAGAAACATCATTTTGGCAGCACTTCTATTCTTCTGAATAAAGGGTTAAAACGTTGCTCTCAAGACTGAGATTATATTAATACTAGAATTTATGTTGTATTTCTTTTCAAGTAGGTAGGTAAATGGTATCTTCATTATGAGGAAAGAGAAACAGGCAGAGATAGATGAATTGGTTAAAACTACAGGAATTGATGACAGGGCAAAGATCTGGGATGCAAGAATTCTGGCTCTTACTCTAGACTAGTGCTAGTCTTTCAAAGTCACTGTTGTGTACAGTGAGAAGCATTACAAGTTTGGAAATTTCACTTTTATCCTGTGCATGCAAAAATGTTGTTTTAAAACCATATATTGTAGGACTTAAACTATCAACATTTTCATAGAAGACCTAAGTTTTTTTGTTCCATTTTCTTTTTCAACAAAAGGATACTGAAATGATCTTTAAACTTGAACACTTCGTAATCTGAACTAAGATTCATGCAACTATTTTGCCTTTTTTTTTCCTTCTCTTTAGACATGGGATTGCTGACCTTAAACTAATAACTTTGACAATACCTGATAACAAACAGGTACGATTTTTCTGTATTCTGTTCTGTCTTGTCTTGTTTTTTCATTGCTGTGCAATCAAAATACATCTGATGGTATGTGTAGCCAAATGCTACTTCTAGTAGAATTCTTATTCAAATCCCAGGTGATATAAAAGGCAACAGTACCAGCGTTTCTTTGTTTTTTGCTTTCCACTAATTGCCTACCTGGAACAGTCATTGGGAAAAGAATGTCGTGTTGAACTTGCTAGACAGTCATTTAAAACAGTATTATAAATGTATCCAGCAGATTCTTAACTTTCTCAAATTGTTTGCATGGGAGTTTTGGGCTCAAAGTCCTGAAGAGATTCTTTAATTAGAGAATTGGAGTGTCTGTAGAGACAATCTAAAAAGAGTCCTGCAGATAATATTGTAGGGGTCTGTGCATTTCAGAAGGCAGCACTGTGTTCTTATGATTTACATTTTTCCCCTGTTTTTATAGAAGAGAAACCTCCTGGTTTTTTCACTGCCTGCAATGCACCTGCTCTATTCTTTGGAAGTATCTGAAGTTTCTTCACTTGTTCAAAGTGGAATCAGTACAGTATGTTTATTCATTTGAATTGTTTTTATTATAAATTAAAGGCAAGTGTGCTGTGTCAGTGTCATACTTATTGCAGATCCGTATGGCACTGACACTTTTTTTTATTATGTCAGTGCCATACTTTAGACCCTGAGAATTTTTATTATACAATACGTGATCATGCAAGTAATGCATGGACGCAAAGGGGCCAAATTGCACATTCAGCTGAAATGGCCACATTTCATTGGTTTGGACAGCAATGGTCCTGTCTCAGACAGGGGGTTGCACCTGGGGACCTCCTGAGGTCCCTTCCAGCCGTACTTCTCTATAATTCTATAAATTCCTAGCCTGAGGGTATATTTAATAAGGCTAAAGAAAAAGGCTTGCTTTGAAATTAGCAACTACTTCATTAACTTGTAGGTTGTGTACTTGTCCAAGTTTGTTTATTTTTTTCCAAATTCTAATTTCTAATTTGTCTCTTGCAGGATATTATATACTTTTTGGAAGGAATTCCTGAAAATCACCAGAAGTAAGTAATATTTTATGTTTAATTAGATTGCTTTTACATGAAAAATATGAGAGATCCTATATGTGAACCAATTATAATATTAAAAATTCAACCATCCCTTTCAGGTCCCCTGAAGGCCCAGTGTCTGTTGTAGTAATGAGAAGTTTAACAGAAGCCTTGCCAGAAAACAGGTATGTATTTTTCTTTCTTTCGTTGAAATTTTGCTTTCAATTTATGTAATTTATGTAACATTGAGGTACCATGTTACATAATAGAGGTAAATGTTATACTTTTATTTCATTCCTTAGATTAAGTCGCTTACTCCATAAGCACAAGTTTACTGAAGCTGAGAATTTTGCTATTCAGTTTGGACTGGATGTTGAGGTAAGTGGCTCCTACTTGCCAATAAAAGTGCAGTTAAACTTGTGAACAAAGTTTCTGCCTCCTGATGCTTTTTTTACTAGAATATAAAGCACTTGCCTCTTTATGTTACTCTTTAAAATCAAAGGCAGATTTTAAGATGACTCAGGTATGTGACAGAACCATACTTTCTTCTGAAATAAATGACTGTCATTATTGTGGTCAGAGGTAAGTCTTGTGTTCAAAATAAAAAAACTGATGGCATTCAAACATGTATAGTTCTGCAAGCCAAAAATAGACTTCGTTAACTAGGTGCTTGGAACTTTTACCATGATGAAAGTTCACTTTATCACACTTAACCCCAAAGTACTGTTGTGATCTGACAGGGGGCTTTCAGATCTAGGAAGAGATTATCTGTTTAAAGCCGAAGTAAGCTAGATTTCAGTGTTTGTCATTTTTTCTTTTTTAAACAGCTTGTCTACAAAGTAAAAGCAAGCACTTTTTTGGAGAGGCTGGCTTCAGCTTCCATTGGGAGTTGTGGTCAAACAGTCTGGCTAGACCTTGTGAGTGAAGCTAAAGAAAATCTGCAAAAAATACAGGTACATGATGTATTTGTTGAACCTTTCATGCTCTCTCTCTGCCTGCTCTCCCTTTACCCTTTCTTTCATTGAGCTGCAAAGGAGCCTAATTTAATTGTAAATTGCTTCTTCAATCAAACAGGACAACCAGTTTGTTGTAGAGTACTGCATAAATGCACCGTGGCCAACATATGAAACAACTCAGGAAATGTTAAACTATGCAAAATTCAGAGTAAGTTGAATTAATTTGATCTGTTTGCTCATACCAGCACCTTCCTATTGCATTTTTCCCATGTAATGTGAATGACTGTCATACTATAAATGTTCCAGTACTGTTTTGAAGGAGTACCATTGGGCTAAACAAAAAGATGCACAAACTAAGGGCTAAGTGAAAGGGAGAGATGCTGTGGTGTTTACTTCATCTGAGTTAAAGGAGCAGGAACATATTTTTAACTAATGCTTCCTTGACACAATAGATTTGTGACTCATGAAAATCACTTCTGTCTATAGATGTGGTGCATTAGTAGGTTCTCTGACTCAAGTTTTATAAAGTGAGGCTTTCTGCTTTGTTGCATAGGAGAAAGAGAAGAGCTTCCTTTTTCATGTAGATTAGATTTAGTCGGGTAGAAAGATTTGACACCTTCCTTTTTATTTAGCAATTCCAAGACTAAAATCTGAAAACTTGTTTTATTTTCTTCATGTTTCATAACTTCCTGCCATACTTAAAAGACCATGGCTGATATAATATGGATCTACTCCCATAGATGCAGTATGCTTGCAGAAAGCCCATGGAAAGACTGAGAGCTGTACCTTTTCAAAAATACTATATTCGTATAAGCTTTTATGGTACTGCGCACATTATGGTGTATTCTGCATTAACTGTTTTGCTAACTATTGTCTCAATTTCAGGTCTTTAAGAGAGATGATAAAATTATTGGTTCCTCTTCTGATGAAGCTCCAGGATCCATAACAGAGGTAGAATAAGTACCAACTGCACTGATTTTTAAGCATTGATTAACTTAACAATTCTGATAGGCAATTTAAAAAATGGAAATAATGCATAAGGTTTTTTTTAATTAAAAATATAGGTATTGTCGAGATCTAGAAACTAGCACTTTCCATATTAAATGCTTTCTGTTGCTACAGAAATAATTTATTTAAAAAAAAAATGTTTCATTAAAAAAAATGTTTCACATTTTTGGGGTTTTTTTTAATCATTTAAAGGAACTTAGAAACTAACTTTTTTTTTACTCAGCCTTTTAGTACATAGGAGATTGGACCACTTGAAATGGGATGAACAGCAAACCGTTTTAAAGTTTTGAATTTTTGGACTTGCTTTTACTATAAACAAACCAGTTTGTAATCTGGTTTTTAGATTTCAGAAACCTTGTCCACCTAGCACTTTACATGAGTTAGTCTTAAACATTTCTAATATCATGGAATATTTAGAGGATCCTCTTAATGTAAAATAACTCTTGTCTCCATATAGGTACTGAGAGCTCAAGCCAGGCTAACTACTTTCTATGGAGCATTTGGCCCAGATAAATTCAGGTTTGCACTCTTAAATTTTTTAATTTGAATGTAAATCTAGTTTTAATGAGTAGATCTTTGTGGAATAAACGCATGTTATCCGAATAAGAGTTCTGGAGTTGAAAGAAGCTCTATATGTCTTGTTATCAGGGAGAGTCAACAAATGAACTCTTCCTTTTTCCAAGTCTCCAGTACCATTTATACATGCTAGGGCAATAACCTATGTGAATATGGAGGTTTCTTCTGTTAGAGGTTTCCAATGGTTCCGCTTCATATGCAGTAGTGATTTTAAAAAAAAAAAAAAAGGTGGAGAGGTGCACAAGGAGAATGAGGAGCCTACCGATATCTGTTACAGATGCTCTATTGTACAGAAACTTAGGTGTGTGTTGTGTTGGATGAGTTTCATGGAAGAGATTTAGTTTCCAAAGCCTCCATTTCTCCCACTATCCATTTTCTCCTATAAAACCTGCTCTCTCTGTGTGCGCGTGCATGCTCTTCCTCATGTGGTAGTAAAAATGCTAATTGCCACTTCTCATTTACAATCCTAGTGGCATTGCTTGGACTGAATTCCTGAATAATGAAGACCTTTTTAAGAATATCCTTTATCAGCTAGAAGAGGGCAATCTACCTTGTGCACAATACCTTTGGCTTAGACATCAGGTAAGAGGCCTCAGTTCACAATCCCTGTTGTTCAAGACCTGTTATCAGACACCTCTTTGAATAGAGGGTCCGTGGTAGAATTAGGCTGATCATATCTTATTTGCATAGTGAACTTATTACTGGTTTGAAAGAATGGCTTTATTTTGTTAACATCATTTATATTTCTTTGTGGGTACAGAAGAATCTTGGGTACTTTGAAGATTCTGTCATATTTGTCACCCCGGTGTGCACTTTCTCAGGAGCATGACCCTGAGTCCCAGATGGATCTTTTAAGTGTTTTTGCATGTTTGACTGATTCCTTGCAAATACCTTCTCAGGTATAAGACATCCAAAATAGTAATCAAGCTATTACATTTCCTGCTTCAGAGTCATTACTTTTTGAAAGCAGTGGCACTGTAGGTCCTCTCCTGTATCCCCAGAAGTCATAACATCAGGAATATGATCTATAACGATAGTGTAGAACAAGTTTAATTTAGGTCTTGTTTAATCTCATAAGTCTTCCCCACTTTACCCTCCACCCAGTCACAACAGCTACTTTTCAGCTTGCATCTATGAATTGGTGAGTGGTTCTCCTTTTATATAGGTATTCTGAAGCCCAATACTCTAACATGCAGTTGTTTTGTGTTTATGTTGTAGGCAGAGTTTGAAAGCAGCTTTGATGAGAGAACATTGGTGAACATGCTTAATACAATCCGTACCACTATTCCTGCAAAAGAACTATCCCTGTGGTTTAAAAATGTTGTGATTCCTTTTGTTAGAAGAGTTGTGCCAAATGGAGAGGTAAAAATATTAAGAGACTCACGCATGCGCGCATGCAGACTATACATTTTTTCCTGTTAAGATGTAATATTTTTAGGTCTGCCTTCTAGGTACATGATAATTCGTTGAGAATCAGAAAAGCCCTTTCATTACTATTAGGTGGTATGTGCATTTGAAAAGCTAGTCATTTCACTTCTATATTGATGCATGTTTTGCTTTATGTACAATTTCTGTTTTTTTTTTTTTAATTTCAGAAAACATTGGCAAAATGGCTGGAACAAGCTGCTCGTAATCTTGAATTAACTGATAAGGTAAAGTAGTTGCTGTTCAAAAACCTTAGTTAGCTTTTATTTCTCTAACCATGATATGCTTTCGCTAATGTTTCTGATATTTTTGAACAGGCAAATTGGCCCGAAAATGGACTTAAAGTGGCAGAGGTGTTTTTTACAAGTAAAAGTCCAGATGAACTCGGACTAGCCTCCTCTTGGCACTGGATTCCTTCAGTAAGTACTGTGGTCAATTGGTAATATATTGATGACTGATACTTACATATTTTACAGAGCTCTTAGCCTACATCATCTTTATTATTAAGATTTATAGTAGATTATATTTTAAGATTATATATAAACATAGTAGTAGTTAGAGCACAATAGTAAAATATGTGTTTTGAGAGAGGAGACATTTTTCAGCAAAGGTGAGAAATTAGGCTCTAGATCTTCTTTCCTCCCCTCTCCCTTCCCCCCCCCCCCCTTTTTAAAGCCGTGTTAATTAACAATTGATCTGTTTGTCCCGAAAGCATTTCTGAAAGTGGAAAGTCCTGCCTTTAAGGGAAAAATTGTTTATAATTTGTCAACAGGTTCCCTACAAATATTCTCTTTTCCCCCTGTGCCCCTAGCCCAACTCTTTGGGTCCTTTTTTTTTAAAAATGTTTTTCTATGAGTAACTTATGCATCTGCTATTACTCAGCTTTCCTAAACAGCAGCACAAATTTATGAAACTCTTGATAATTTCATTGCTGCCAATTGGGTTCTGAATAGCAACAGTGAAACAAACCAGTCTACTTTTAACTTGCTGCTGTCTGACAAAGATCTGAACAGTCCCAAAGTCAATGAAAATGCCTCCATATAGGATCAGAAGAACAATGCTGACTTGGTTTATTCTTGGTTCTTTTTCAGAAGTAGTGTCTATAAAGTTGTTAGGTTAAGGGTTTTATTGCTATTTTTCTTTTTTGAATGATCTCAAATTGTAGTCTTGAACCAGTCTAGCCATGTGAAATGCGAGTAAATGTAGCTTATAGTTTATATCCTATGGAGAGTAGCATCTATAGCTAGAGGTACAGAGGAGACAAGCAGTAAAGTTAATAGCAGGCTGCTCCTCATAAAATTGATAATATGGACACTCCTAGTAGAACAAACTTTGTCCAGGTCTACTGTCTTCAACTCACTGAATCCTATATACTAAGTGCTTAGTAAAGTGGATGAGTTTTCTTTCCTGCATCTAACTTTCAGTCAGCGGCTTTGATTTTTTTCATATGCCTTGTGGCTATAGTAGTTCAGCAAAAGCTCTGATTCACAGAACCTGCAAACTCTAGAAAATAATATACAAAGGTTGTTAAAAAATCCTTCACTTTTGACATGCATTACAGAAGTGTGGTGGCTGTGAAGAGGTGTATCGGTTAAAGAAACTGGTGCTCGATTTACAGGAGCTGGTAAATCTCTACAGAAAGTATAGCTGCAGACTGGCACTCTGTGATTTTGAAAAGGTAATACTGCAAGCATTTAAAAATTAATAATTGAGCACTGAGTGTTCAGTTGGTACATCATAAGAATCAGTTAGGCAAGAGACCTGAGCACTGTTGAGCATGGGATTGGGAGTCAAGAACTACTTGGTGTAATAGCTTCTGCTCTAGCACCAAACATTGAGCTTCGAGTAAATGGGTTAATCTTCCTCTGTCTTTCCTGTGTGTAAAAAGGGATAAGAATATTAAACATCCCTTGTGGTGGTTATGAAATCTTAACAATATAAATGCTTTATATAATAGAAATAGGCATGGTTCCTGACCCTAGTACTTTATGATATAGAACACGTATTGTTATCCAATAAAAGTTTACAGCGACAAAGAAATCCAGAAGTAATAGCTCAACACTGAAGGATTTTGCAGAAGTATGTAGGTTTTTAGGTCTGAACTCTTTCCATTTGGTATTGGGTTATGCCTTTACAGAAATGAGAAAATACTGTATATTGTGCTTTTCAAAGTATTTTAACATTTCTGCAACTATTTTTCTGTTGCCTAGGAGAATGCAAGCACAATAGTGTTTCGCATGTTTGATAAAATTTTGGCACCTGAGCTTGTTCCATCCATGTTGAAGAAGTTTATAAAACCATACATCCAAGAACATAATCTACAAGAGGATGAACTTTTCTTGCAGTATATAAAGGTATCTGCATTTTAAAATTATTTTTGAAGGAAAAGAATTTGAGAGTAGGCAAAAATTTTAAGTAACTTATTTCCTATTTACTTAGGGCCAACTTTGACCTCCCTATTCTTGTGAGTCATCTCACTGGATGTCTACATGTGTGCAGCAATTAGGCCAGCGTAGACTAATGTACTGTGCCATCGGATAGTCCCATCAGGCACAAGTACTCTCCGATGGCGGAGTAAATTACTGCGCTTAAGCGCATGTGTAGATGGTGATGTCTGGATTAGTTTACTCCAGTTCAGATTGCACTGGAATGTATTCGGTTGCATTAACTGCATGTGCCCACAGAGTTGGATGTTACTGTTTGAGTAGTAAGATACTTGGTACAAGTAAGTCTGGCAAAAGCCAGTCCTTAGTATAAAATAAAATACATTTTAAAGCTGTTTATTTAAATTATGAGCTAATCCTGCCAGGACTCTTTATTTATATATATTTAATGTGATTTTTTTGTTTATTAAATCAAAATATTCAGGATTTGTTAGAACGTTGTTGTACACGATCCACGTCAGTGTTTGAAACTGCATGGGCGGCAAAGGCAATAGCTGTCATAGGCTGTATATCTGACACAGACGTAAGTTTTTTGGATAACAATGACTTTTGTACAATCTGTCTTTTGTTATGAATGGGAAAAATTGTGTTGTGAAGAAGGCATGGGTCAAATACTATTCTGTCTTTCAGTCTGTTTTAGCAGTTTCCTTCTGTGCAGTGTACATTGCCTGGTCTGATTAGCATTGTTGTATTTCTGTTACGTGTAGCTGTTCTGTTTTCTGTCTTCTCTTAGCGGGTAGTTAAGAAAATGTCCTTCCTCAAGGTGCTGAGCATTGTCATCTCCCATTATTTCAAGGGGGATCACTAGATTGCAGTGAAATAGATCAGCAGTGCCATTTGGAGAGTGTGGTAATGTGGTATGTCTCTATCAGTGAGCACTCAGGGCTACCTGAGTCTCTAGCCTTGCAGTTCATAAATTTCTCTTTTAGAAGCATTGTGTCACTAAAATTACTCATTATTTTAAGTACCTATACCTTTAAAAGTACTTGTTGCATTCTCTGAGAAGTACAACAATAGTTTAAATGCTATATTAAGGAAAATACAGTGTTTAAATGTATAATTGTATAAGTAGTTAATGTCTGCTTTTAAGAACTTCATAAAACTTGGTAGGAAATCTTGCATGACTTCCATATCTTGTTGAACATTGACAGAAATTTGGGTATGAATCTTTAAAGGATTAGCATACCTGCTGAAATCATTGGGAGTTTGGCATATGCAATTTTAGCCCCTAATTATTCTGACAAAACTCTTCTGGGAGAAGCATGCAATGTGAAAATGAATGTGTGAATGAATGAGTAGAGTTTGGGGAGAGAGAATTTTTCTACATGTAATATGAATAATAGGTAAACAATATCTGAAAGTAATACAGTGTTTAATTCTCATATGAGTGCAAATCCTTTTGCAGCTGAAATTTGATGCAGTGTTGCAGGTAATGCATGGTGCTGTGGTGCCTTGGAGTGCAGCAGTGGAGCAACTGGTGAAGCAGCATTTAGAAATGAAACACAGCAAGTAAGATGGCTTTCCTTATACTCCATGTGTCTATCACTTCAGACCTCCTAGATTTTTCTACTTTTATTTGCTCTTCTGCTTTGAATGACTGAGTTGTAGCTTGATGTGACAAATTTCCTCATGTTTGTTGTTGCTTATTTATATACATAGAGTGAAGTTATTGCAGGAGAGTTACAGACTGATGGAAATGAAGAAGCTTTTGCGTGCCTATGGAATAAGGGATGCCAATCTTCTAAAAGACAAACAGATGATAATGGTACGTGGCCAGTGACTGCTTCTGTTTAGATTGTTTCTATGACTTATATTTTTAAATACCAATTCCTAAGCCAGTCTTTGAGCATTTTGATATGTTAGGGGCCAGATATTCAAAGGCTCCTGGAACCAAGATGATACCATTGCTTTTAGTGGTCTCTAAAATTGCCAGCACATTTTATAGGAAAATCCGTGTCTGTTTTCTCATTTCAGAGGTTGGCGAGATACATTCTTAAACAAGATACTCCTACTTGTTTAGAAGATGCTTTGAAAATTGTAGCAGCCTGTATGTTGCCCAGTGTGGAAGTCTATATTCTGAGGATGGTGGATCTGATTGATAAAGACAGGGTACAAAAATATTCAGTTATGTGATTGATATTCTCTAAGACTTTGGGGAAAAAAGGGGTATTGTTTCAAAAGCTGCACACACCCTTGCACAGACTGCAGTATTTTTACATGCAAACTACACGTTTCTAGTAGTGATGTGCAGCTTGTCATAATGCATGATATTAAAAAGATTTTATTTATAGCTTAAGATACAACTAAGTTGATTTATCCTTTCTAGGCTATGAACTAATATTTCCGTCACAGGAAGCAGTGCATGCTTGAGAAACTACCAAGTTCTGCCACAGTGTAAAACCTTGCAAATGCTGATTCATTAATTGCGCAAAAAGGTGAAAAATAGTTTTCACCTATGTGGACAGGATTGGGATGAAGCCTTTTCTTGAAGTATGCTAGATGTTTTCTAATGAGCTTTACTATGGTAACTTCTGAATGTGCTTGACCACCTCACTGACAACAAAAAAAAGACTTTCTGGTTGGGAGATATTGCCATATTTGGCACCTTATGTCAGTAGTGTAGCTAGGGGTGGGTGACTTGAGCACCAGTCCAGCTGCCACTGCTGCCCCTACTGCCTAGGGTGTAGAACCTGGTTGTTATGCCCCTGCCTGATGTTGGAACCTGTATGTTTGTCATTATAGAGAGGCTCTAAGAACAGAGGATATTGCAAACCATTTCTCTTTGGGAAGGGTATTGAGCTTGTCTCCTGGCACAGTTGTCTTATGCATACAGACAGACAGACATGCATGTGTGCGCACACACTGCAACTGTCCCTAGCAATGCAGTTTCTTTTGCAGAATTTAGATGAACTTATAAAATGCAGCTTAAAAAGTCTCAGTCTTGGACTACCCTTGCCAACATAGCATTAAAGTAAAGAAATGTAACTGACAGAACTGGTCAGACCAGTCCATCAACCAGACTGTCAACAGCAAATATTAATTGTTCTCAGCAGTTTTTACTATGCTTTATGTCTTTGCAGGGAGAAGAATCTCTGAACTTATTAAAATCTCTGCCTGTTGCTGAAGCTGAGGAAATTGCAGAAAGATTGACTATATGGGCAAAACTAACATTACAGAAAGAAGCAAATAATTCTGAAGAGGTACTAACCAATTTAACTTCATAAAATACATGTATTGACTGTTCCAAACACTGAAGTCTGTATACATGTTGAAAAGAGTAGTGGTTTGAAGAATTTCTAAAACCTCATAAACAGTTCAGATATTTAAAAATTGGTGCTTTTTTGCTTTATTTATCTAGCCATCCATGTATGAAAAAGCAGATGCCATGATATAAAACTTCTTTATCAGAAATCATTGCTATACTTTATAAAGGCACATTTTTATTTTGGTAGAGACTTACACAAATGACTCCCGCTAGTGCATTAGGGTTGTTTTTGTTTTTTGGGATTTTTTTAATCCTTACTTCAGCCAGTTAGAAATTCTACATATTATCTATAATAATCAGTATTATCTGACTGTTGGACAAAGTTAACTAATTCTGCTGCCATCACTATTAGATTACTCTTAGCTGTGCATACTTGAAACTTCAATTCATCAAAGACTAAATAAAATTAACTTTCCTTTTTTCAGCGCAAAACACAAATGTGTATAACAAAATCACTTGCGGACGTTCTTAAATTCCTTCTCAGCATTCAGAAAGGTAAGTTGTAATCTGTGGTTTTTATATTTTACCTAATAAGTAGCTTAGTAAGGAACATATTTCTGTCTTACAGAAAATCCTCTGAAGAGGGACGAGTGTGAAATGAACTTGAAAATGTTTGAAACACTTGCCAGTCTGCAGGTAAATATTTTAAGTTTAAGAACCTACTCTTTACCTTGATGTTGCACTCAGTAATATTATTAAACAACATGAATCCTATTAAAATATACTTGCTGTTAACATTGTTTGTATTAGACTAAAAGTGCTTAATGATCAGGATAAGAAAGAAATTACTTGATTGATCAATAGATTTTGTTTATATTATACTTTAAAAACAAATTTTACATTCTTATTTAGGGAGAAAGGAGGGTGGATAAAATGATTATTAGATTTTAATATAATTTTTAAAATATGTTGTCATAAATTAATCATAATTATGTTCTGTCTTACAATTGGGATAATCTGCTAAAATCACTTGAAAATATTGCTTAAATGAACTCAAAATTTTAGTGACAAAGGGTGTTGCTTTTTAATTATATACGGAATCGGATAAAAACGTGCTTCAATTTTGAAATTTTTGCAACTTTATAACTCTCACAGCTCATGTACAACCTTTTAATTATCCTGTTTTGTGTTTTTACAATGAAATGGATCCTAGCATTTTGGTTTTTTTTCCTAACCTTAGATACTGTCAGTCTGGCTATTACAGAAAACTATTTGCCTGGATAACTTTTGGTTTGAGTTTAGCTAGCTTCTGCAGAGAATATCTTAAATAATATTCCAATTTCCACCTAAATAGAGCTTGAAAAAAATCATATATGTTAAACTTTAGTAAATGAAGTGTCATTTGCCGTATCACAACATAAAACATGTAAACACTTGTAAGAATCTGAATACAGGTATTTTGTTTACATAAATATTTATAGATGGTGGTAGTTTTCCAGATTCAACATAGACGCTATATATAGTTGTAAATCATTGTGTTTTTGATGGTTATTCCAATCGGAGTGAATTTTTTCTTTAGGGTAATTCCTAACGTACAAATGCAGAACAGGATTAAAATCAATATTTAAATAATACTGCTACTTGCTGATTTTAAATGTGATTTTAAAATTAGTTTTTTTTTTTTTAATCAGTCCACCATGGAATAAAGATGCCAAAGCAAACATGTTTTTTAAAAATACTTCTTAACTCTACCACTTGATTTTGAGTGAAAGATCAGTTTTGATACTGTAGATAAAACTTCACAGTATCCCTTTATAGTGTCTTCCAGCGCCACTCAGGGATTAAAATTCAGTTTTATGAGACTAGACGCATGGTTTCTGTTTTGTAAAATATTTTAAGCTGCTAGTAGAACCTTCCTAATTCTCGTTCTACTTTTCAGCAAAGATTTGCTAATAAGAGACAGCTTATAAAGGTTATATTACATTTATAAAATATAATCTGTTTTGATGATGCAGTGGCCTTTTTAATATTTATTTTGCTTATCTACTAATTAATTAAAGTTCTGTAATTTAGTAAATGCTGCTATTCTAAGAACAATTTCATCACTAAAGCACTGAATGCGGAATCATGTCAACAAATACAACAGATTTCCAAAGAATGTCAAATTAAATGAGATGACAGCATGCTATTTTACTTTCTGTTGTAGGAGGATTTTGATATCTTTATTTCAGTCAAAGATTATGGGAATCCTTCACTGATGTCTCAGCTCATTGAAGAGTACATAAAAGCCTATGAAACCATTCAGTCTGTGGCAGAATCTAGAAAAGTACAAGCAATAAATCACCATTCAGAAGAAGGTGAAACAAAGAACTGCTCCACTAAATCAAGACTTTACAGACTGGCTTTGCTTCTGCAAAAGACAGAGCAGGAACTGGGGGCAAAGCTCGCATTGAGGGCATTAGATACTGGAAAAATTGAAGAGGCTATTAAAATATGCAGGTAAAATCTCAAGCATGTTTAGTTTTGCCTAATATATTAGAGTTAAACACATGTAGTAAGTTATTTCTAGTACCCTGCAATCACTGGAAGGTACTTGCAAAGACATGATCCCCTTAGATGGAGGAAGTGCTGAACAGTAGATCTGTTTAAACAATATGCCACATTTTATGGAAGACTACAAATGTTAGTTTGTTTAGTTGTTTCTTCAGATTATTTGGCAATTCCTGTGGATTTTGTTATAATGAGATTATTAATGCATTCTCTGTACTAGGTAAAGGGACATGGTAACTGATCTAATTCCACCAGTTTAATAGAAGATAAAGAATAATATGGATTGACAAACTAATCAGCCACACACCTCTCCCTCTTTGCTTCTTGAGTCTCATGAATACATAGAAAGCTCTGGATCTAAACTATCATGCTTTTGATATTTCATCCTTCCCCCTTGCACACCTTTGCCTGATTAGATAGGGTTCTGCTCTTACCTACATTTCAGTTTTCTTCTTTAAAGGAGGTACAGAATGAAAATGTAACTAAAGTAGGGCTAGGAACAAAAATTGCATTTGTCCCTGGACAGGTTGTTCCGGTGTTTATCCCAAAACAGAAATGTTCCATGATTGGAGTGTATGCACATCACCCTTCTAATGAGGGAATCCAGGTTAACTATTCAAATGCACCTTGCGATATCCTGGGATAAATTCTTAATACTACTTATCCCGTGAGCCTCTGTAGGATTAACCCTGGGACAACAGACACGGATGTCTGAATAATAACACTCTTGTTCTGGAATAAAATGGTTTATCCTGGAACAAATGCAACATCTGTTTGTATCCTATATTTATCCTATATTATATCCTACATTTTTATTAAAAAATATTTATTTTACAATATTCAATATTCATGTACAAGGGAAACTCCGCCTGTCTTTTAATTGTATTATTTTATTCAGCTTTTGTGTCTAGCTGCATGACTTACTGATGAGCTAACTAAAATAGTTTTCCATCCCCTTGCAGTCCCTACTTAGATTGTTTGTTGTTTGGATAACTAAGCATTTCAAAAGCAACCCAAGTTATAAATATGATCTTAAATAAACATTCTAACCATTTATTTTCCCCTCTCTTCTCCATAAAGAGACTTATATGAACATCACTGTAATGAAGAAACAGGAAAGATGCTGTTTTTAGCTTGTCAAAAGCTTTGCCATATGTTGGGAGCTGATGTTCCAATGATTACTCCTAAAGAGTTGAACCTTCCTGCAGTGATAGATGAGCTGGCTTGCCAAGCAGCTGCAATATGCAGTTCAGGTAATCAATATCCTCATTTCTAATTTGTGTTCATGTTGAAATCCAGATTTCCAGGCAATCAATTTTTCTATTAAACATGAAAACAAACTGAATATCTGTGCATGCCTCTTAAAGAAAAAAAAAAAAAAGAGGATGCTTACAAAATGGTAGCTTGCTTTACAATGTAGAATGTATACATTTTATTGAAAAATGATAATGACTTTTTAAATTCTCACAGATCTGTTACTAGATTCTCTGGAGTTATGTCAATATACCTCGATTGCCAAGGACATTTATGGACAGTGCCAAATAGAAAACTACGGATTTATAGCAAAGGTAATACCTTTTTCAAAGCTGAACATTCAGATAATGAAAGTCACATTTGAAAGTGTAATGTCTTGAATTTTTTTAGCTCGTTGATAAGTATACTTTGCAGCTCCTGGCAAATGTGTTTTGTTTATCTGTATTTGTTTCCATATTCTTGATAATGGTTTTTATTCAGACAGCATCATTTGGAGCTGATAAAGATCCTTATGAAGAATGGATTTATGATGATTTCTTCAGTGAAGATGGGATAGTTCTTGAACCACAGATGGTGCTCCCAGTTGCATATGAAACTGTTTCTTCCCTTATGCCTTTTGCCGGTAATTTTTTTAATTATTATTATTATTATTATGCAGTGAGTCGCTATGTATTATCCTGATCTTATTCATAGTAAATTTGATTTTTTGCTATGAGTATAAATAAATTACCCACTTTTTTTTTTTTTTTTTTAATTGGCACTTTCTCCAAATGCACCTCACCAAACCCATGCTGTTGCTTAATAAGATCAAGAACTCTGGCTAGAACTTGGCATTGTACTTGGTGCGAAATTGGAAACACGTTTTCAGTTTGGTTCAGAAGCACTGAATTTTTTTTAATTGTTTCATGTCTCCAGCAATACATTTATATACATTCATATTCCACACATTTCACTTTCAGTGGTATTATATTTTTTGTATTATCTTCAGGTGTTCTTGATAGAATTGGCTCTATTTTTAAGTGAGACACTAATTGATTAATAAGCTAAAAATTAGATTTCTTATCTGAAAGAGGTTGTTTTGGGGCTTTTTGTTTTTCCTTCCTTCATTTAGGAAAATGAAGATTAAAAAAAAAAATGACAAGGTAAATGGACAAAAAATCACAGAAAATATCCTAGCTCTCAGGATTTAAATTGTGAGGTGTAAATATTTCAGAACACATAACGAAGTTAGTATGTAGCTACATTTCTAAATTGGTTTCAGGTATAATCCTTTAAAGATATTTGCAAGGTTTCTAACTTTGGTGAGATGTTAGTGCACTTCTGAAAAAATTGTTTTCCTTGCAGAGAACAAGATATATCCTCTGGACTGTACCAGCTTGGCAAACTGTCCATTTGTTAAAGGTAATATAATGGCAAAGTACCACTGCAAAACTAAAATAAACTAACACATTGCTAAATGTTTAATTTAAACCTGAAAAACCAAGAACTTATTTCATTAATCCCAAATCACTGGCTAAGACTTTCCACATATTGTCAAAAACTTACTAGAGAGGCAGCACTGAATTGGGACATCAGGCTGGAGGTAAGGAGACAAGTATCCTGGCCAATCTGTATTCAGTTTCTGGCTCTGTTCACCTGTGTGACATTGAGCATGACACCTTTACTTTTTTGTGTCTTAATTTCCTGATCTGTAAAGTGGGGATAATGATACCTTACTATAGTGCTTTGAGATCTGTGCATGAAGGCTGTTTTATAAAGGTACAACTAGTAATACCTCCCTAGGTTCTTCTGTAGAAGGGTATAGAGCCTGTCCAGAATGACTCAGCTGATCCCTGTCAGGGTCAGCCACTGGTAGCTGAACTAAAAACAATTTTTGTAGTATGGCGTAAATCTATGGAAAAACAAGACTTATTAAGAATGCAAAAGCTGATCACATAACATCACCTTAATGGAGAAGGAGGGAAGTCACTTTCAGTATAAATTCCAAGTATCTAATTAGGTTTAGCCAACATGCATGTTTCAGATATATGCTAACCATTCTTCTGATGAAACTTTTCACAGGACAGAACCTTCTCTTGCCAGCTCGAACACCCATCTGTGCCTTGCTTCAGAACCTTACAGAATGCAGTCAATGCGAGTTAGCTTTGCGGCTAATAGTCTCTTCATTTGGATCCTGCCTGCAGCACTGTGTAACAAACAACATGAACATGTCCCTGAGTGAGAAGGTATGGAGAAAACCTAGACTGGATTTTGCTGAATGTAAACTTTGGAAATCTGCCCAACCTTTCCACTTTTAGGCTAGTTTCCTGAACAGATGGCTGAGCAGATAGGTGTTGTAACACATCCTCTCACTAGGAGTTAGCACCATCAGAGTGGTTCAGTGGTTTGTATGAAGGGAAGGAGTGGTCACCCTTCTGCTTCGTAGCAGGGGACTGTTTCACATTGCAATATCACCATCATAAACTGGTACATCTTATCAGTAAGAAGAGCAAGGATTGAATTAATGTTGATAAAAAAAAACATATTCTTCCAGTGTTTTTCCACTCCCTCTCTAAGATGGTCAGAATAACAAGAAAATTAGAATTCTTGTGAAATTTGATTTTTTTTTTTTTTTCTTTTACTAACTGCCTGACTCTGTTTTTGTCATTAGTTACATGATGGGAAAATGCTGACTGATGCCAAAAGCTTTCTTATTGCCATGAAACAGAAATCCACTTCAGTGATTATGACTACTGGCCTGGACTTGCTATATAAGGTGAGCATACCCTATACAAAAAACCTTTTGCAAGGACCTTGCTATTTCCAACTTTGTTTCCTGCAGACCCATTTTATCCAGCTTGGGGAGTTGTGGGGTGGAGGTGTGGGCCTGGGTGGCATTTCTACAACAGGGGGCTTCACCTGTGTGGCAGGGAAAAGCAGCAAGGACCGCACTGTTGAGGGAAGCAGTGGCTGCAGCTGTGGTGGCGGTGGAGGTTGGGTTGGAAGCAGCCTACACACAGAACTAAGCCCTGTTAAAGAATCTTCTTGTTGCAAAACATTGCTAACCCCAACTCTAAATAAAGGCAAATGTCTATTTACAGAGTATATGGTCCTGATTTCTTTCAGGCCCTATTGGATTAAAATAAGAGCCTTTTATGATCTGTGGGCATTTTCCATCACCATCTACTCAGATCCTGAAATCTTTTTACCTCCATGAATGAAACAGAATTTTAAAGGCTCTCTGTGGATCCTGAACTATGCCAATATTCTTCTGAAAGATGAACTGTCTACACTGTTAGATTGACTTTCCTTTACATCGTTACTTTGTGTTTTGAATATACTGCTAAACTATTTTTCTTCCTTTCTTATTTTCTAACTTAACTAAAAGGCTCAATAGACTTTTGTATAACTGAACGCTTAACACATTAAATAATGAAAGTGTCCCATCAATGTGTAATGCATAACTGGAAGTTTCTAAAGTAAGCTTATTAATTATTAAAATATGCCTATTTATTTCCACAGGTTTTCAACTGTCGTCTGATAGATCTCAATCTGGCGTTAGGGTACTGTACAATCTTGCCCAAGGAAGACATGTTTAAAAAGCTCTGGGATGTCATAAACAACACGTGGCAAAATTACAATAAAATTCTGGTAACCCTTCAGAGGCACTGTTCTTATCTTAACTTATATATGCTACTGAAGTGCTGCTTTCAGAGATTAACTGTCTAGCGTAGTGGTGCATTAGAGTGGTCCTTCCTACACTTTTTTTTAAACTATTCTGGTAAGATATGAAGTAAACTTGCACCTGTAATATCTTCTTCAAAATTCTCTCTCTGGTAATTTAAAGAATGAAATGAGCCTGCAGGAAAGAAGTGTGTGTGGAGGGGGGGAGAATTAAAAAATAATGAAGCAATGGAGACGGGATGAAACTGACAGTTATTTTAACAAATAATCTAGGGTCTCTTGAGATGCATCAGACTCTTTGAACTCTGCTTTAAAGACAGATAATATTGTTTTATAAATCCTGATTTCTGCATCACTTGATTTGTATATGGCATGGTGGAATTATTTTTAAGATGGCTACTCTAAATTGATAAATAAAGTTTCCTCTTAAAGCACTTAAATATTGGCTATTACCTAATTTGGGGACAGGGGTGATTGGAAAAATATCCCCTACGAGGAAAAGGGAGGCATTATCATTTTATAGCTTGAGAGTTTGAAACACAAGAGTTCATAGCTTGCAAAAGGTTATGCAGTGGCCTAGATGATACAAGATCCCATTTTTAACTATAGTTTTCTTTTACACTTTTTCTTTTTAAAGGCAGTTGCTCGGGTTGGAGCACAACTTGCCAGTCACTATGGTGAAGCAGAAGAGAGAGAGAAATTCCAGGAATTAATTACTGATGCAGAATGGGGTATCCAGCTTGGTAAATTTGGTGTGAGTGTTCTTTTTAACATGTTTATACATTAAAGTTGTTCATTTAAAATGGCAGCTTAGTCTGAGAGATGACCATTTTTGTTGCGAGTTGAGTGTGTGAATTCATTTTTGGGGGCTTTTTTTTTAAATTTCCTTAATCTCAGTTTCTTGGCAGTTAGTGGTTTGGGGTTTTTTTATTTTGCTATTTTTCATGAACAAATGTTTCTTTCTGGTGATACACTAAATGTAAATTTGCAGCAAGCATAGTATTTTATTGGGAAATAATGAATACATGAAAAGCCATTACTAACCCACCTACCCCTAATTTTATTGTTGGATTTTTTCTGTTTATCTGCAGATTTCTTTCCAGTTTGTATTTAGAGAGCCATCAATACGGAAGAGAGAACTCCTAAGAATTCTAGTACAGAATCCAACTGTAGATACAAACCTTCTGCTGAAATATTGCAGGTAAAAACTGAAGCAAGTTAACCCAGTATTTTATTGCTACCACAATAATTGTGTTTGTCTGAGTCTGTTTTAGTTTAAAGATCTGTTTTCTCATGCAGTAAATAAACTGTCATTAAAAAAAATCCCCTGCAGTTTAAGTAATGTTTTATCTTTTTAGCACTTACATGTTGGACAGTGATACAGCACTGCAGCTTTGCATTGAAACACTCCTCCTCCAGAGTGCAAATATAAATCACGTGGAAGGTGACTCAGCAGGGAATACGGAGAAACTACCCCCTTCAACATTATTGGCCAAAGCCCTAGAAATAATTCCTTTGCTGAAGAGCACACAAGACCTGGTTATTAGCCTTGGTGGAATATTGCACAAGGTAAAATAGTCACAACACGCACCTAACATCAAACACCGTTTTCTTTACTAACCTCCCATTCTGAGGTGTGTGCCAGTCATGTATAAAACTGCTAAAAAGGAAAACTGAAACCAAACTTCCTTACAACCTTTGCTATAGACTATAAATCTTAGAAATAAAGAACTGTGGTTAGAGTAGCTCTTTTGCTGTTACTACTATAGGTTGTTAGTTTTTGTTTTATTTCGTTTTATTGGCTCTTCTAGTATTTTTTTTTAATAGGTTGGTCACATCGTTTCTGTTTTCTTATTTTAGGGTACACTGTTTGTAGCAAGGAAACAACAAATTCTAGGGATACACTAAAGTATAAATTCTTAAAAGGACCAATTTAAAAAATAGGCAGGCAAGGTTCTTTGGGTAGATGTGATTTATCTTTTATTAGACCAACTGAGTAGTTGGAAAAAAGCTCTTAGCAAGCTTTTGGGTGCAGTCACCCTTCGTCAGGCATAGGGAGTCTCTGCTGGTCTGTGGAGCAGACTCTCCAAGGAGCCATGGGAGCAGTAGTGGTGGCAGGAGCGCCCCACTCCCTGGACGAGCTGTGGCTCAGTCCTGCGCCCGCCCCGCCCTGCCGTGCCTTGCCGGACAGTGCTTGCCTCAGCCCTACTCCTCCCTCACCGCAGGGCCTTGATCTGTGCCCTGCCATGCCCCTTACCTTCCCTCCTCCCCTTCCACTACACCAGACTTACCAGCTGCATGCAGCTCTTCAAGCTGCCAGGCTGGTATCAGAAATTGGATCGGTATCGGCCAATATGCCTTCTTAAAAATTGGCTATCACCATCAGCCCCAAAAATCTGTATAAGTGCACCCCTAGTCAAATTCTTTAGAAGGGAAGTATATGCCAACAGTAAAGAGAAGGATGCTTTTGAAGTATATGTTAGAGCTTCAATATTATAGCTACATAGTTGGAATTAAAATAGTAAAATGTATACTGAATTACTGTTTTAAAAGTCAAATTACAAAGTACATAAATCATTTATCTCTTGTTTTGTGTTTTGGAACAGCTTGATCCATATGACTATGAAACTATTGAAAATGTCCTAAGAGTGATACAAAGTGCTGACGAAAAAAGTATAAGTATCCAAGTGAATCAGGTACAACAATAGATCATTTAAAAGAAATCCATTGTCACTTTATTTACAGCTTCTCTCAACTATTGCTTTTTTATATAATTGAACTCATCCCACTAGATTCTTATATTGCTCAATTATTATAACTTTCATCTCTGTCATTTTGGAAATTTGTATATGAGAGTGAAACAGATTCAGTCAAATAGGGAACTGTAGCTTTTTCTCAAGAGAGGACAAAAATCCTGAAGCTATTTTGTAATCATGGCAAAATAATATATATATACCTACCCCTTCTAGGTAGATATTGGGGACTGTTTTTTTACTTGAAGAATATATTAGCGGTGTAATACATGCGGTGTTTTTTTTTCTTCCTGTTCTTCTAGGCTTTGAGCCTTTTGAAACACCTGGAATCTTATCAAAGAATCTCCCCTCCAGTGGACCTAGAACACCAATATGTTTTAGAGAACACGATTGCCCTATCTCCAGCTGCTCAAACCAGGCTGCCTTTCCATCTGATATTCTTTAGAACCACACAATGTTTCTGGAGTATTATATGTATGTACTCTATGTAGCTAGCTAGCTACATATCTTTTCCTTAACTCTCAGTTCAACAGTAATGTAGTCTTTAATACGTTTATTCTCCCAAAGCCTCATAAATACCAATGCCTCTGTTTTATAAATAGGGTCTTGAGACAAAGATGCATGAACAGGGTTCTTTAACTTCCTAGGAGCTGAGAATAGTTTACATGATCTGAGGTTCTGCCTCCAAAGGACTTGCTTAAGGGAAGTCTGTCAGAGCAAGGAATTATCCCAGATACCCTAAGTCTCAGACCAACAGTAGATCTTTTTTTTTTTTTTTTTTTCTTTCACCACTAGAGTGCCATGTCTAGTCTCAGTAAAAAGTCCCTCATTCAACAAGAGAAAACTGCACTTATGCTGTGACTTGCACTAGAATATTGTCTGTTTTTCTTGCAGCTGCAGAGTTAAGTGAGGAGTCCTTCCCAACACTTCTTTTGATTTCCAAATTGATGAAGGTAAAGCTCAATCATTAGGAAATTTTATTTGCAAAATACTTTGTTCCTGGGAGGGAGCATGTCTCTGTCTCTGTGTCTCTCATTTTAAATTATAACTTGCTCTTTATCTTTGAGGTTTCTCTGGATACGTTATACATGTCTGCAGCCAGGCATGTCTTTGAGAAAAAACTGAAGCCAAAAGTATTTGAAATGAGACAATGTGGATGTTCTTCGGTGATTAACAAGGAAACTACTAAAACTGTGCAGACCATTCACTCCTACTTGTTATCCATAATTAATCCAGAATGGGCTGTAGCGATTGCTCACAAGATAGCCCAAGAACTTCCAACAGGTATGAAGATCATTGTTTTATTAAAGAGGAAGAAGAGAGAAAGACAGACAGTATCTGTGTAGTATGTGGAGAAAAATATGTAGATGCTTATATGTAGGCTACCTTAGCTTTTTGTCTCATAAACTTAGTTTGAGGCATTACAGTAAAGTTAGGAGGAAAGTAGCTGCTGAATGCAAGTAAAAGCAATGAGCTGTACATTTCTGTTAAGAAACACTTTATGTTGTCATGCCATCATTTTGCAGGGTGCTTCAGTTATACTGTTTTTAAACAACATCATTTAAACTCTCTGGAGTCCACAATTTAAACAAGACTAGATAAAGAAAAGGGGTAGGAGACAGAAGGACAACGAACAGAAATAAATGTGAATCTTCATAGAGTTGAATGTATTGTAAACTCTGGTGAGGGAGTGGAAATCAGCAAGGGAAATCAAAGTGAAAAAAATGCCCTTGAAAATATTTCTACTCATCCATTTGAGTTAGTTTATGATAGTTTGGGGCTTAAATAGCAAGTGTGAGATTTAAAAACTAAAATCTGGTACTAATTATTTAACAGTAATTTCAGATCAGATCTTGAATGCAAATATTCTACCAGACATAAGCATTGAACCAGTGAGTCTCTCATCCACATCTGTTTGTTTAAGTTACCATGCTAAGGAAAAATACTTTGAAACTTGATTAGGAAAACTATTATAATTTTCTGGATCATACTTAATTAAATGCCTTTGAAACCCTAGTGAGGATACTGTATGTACTTTAGGAAAGATTGATAAAGATGTGTATCTGTAATTCTCTTCTTTAATTTTTCTCAGGGCCTGACCAGATTCAGGCATTGAAAGTTTGTCTCTCTTTAGCTGAGAAATGGATAAATAATACTACAGCCAAGGTAATGGCACAAGATCTACAAGACCAATGTCTGAATAGAGAAACTGTGCGTGTTTGTCTTTTGTAACTTAAATTGTAACGGATAGTTTGCCTCATAGCAAATTATGAAAGGCATTTTCCACTAATTAAAAAAAACCCCAACAACCCTTCAATCAAAGGAACAGTACCCGCTTGTATAAAACAAACCTCTGATATGGAGAGTGACTACAGAAACAGCACCTACAGAAGGCTCCTGTCATCTCTTTAATCTGTTACTTTCCCAACAAAAAATAGACCTGCATGTATAAATATTTCTTGGTTGATTTTTTTTTTTCTTTTTCTTTTTCTTTTTCCTTCTCTAGGGGGCAAGGGGAGGGTGGAAGTTTATTATAAAATGTCTCTTCTCTTTTTAGCTGTAAGTGTAATCTCACACTTTGCTCTGGGAGAAATGAGTTGTATTCTATTTCTGTTTATAAATTAATTGAATTATTAACTTTGTACCAATGCAGTCTTTAGGTGATGACATGCTACCCAGAAATAATTTTAGCTTGACTCTTAGATCCCAGGCTAAGTTTGCAGGGCTTAGTTTGTGTGGGTTTGGAGACATCTCCGTTAGGACCATTCTGTAGTTGAAGACTCATACTTACTAGGCATATAGTTAAGCCCCATTTTTTTCAGTATTACCCATCAGATTTCTTAGCTTTATTTGCTAGTGTATAATTAAACTATTTCCTGACTCTTCCACAATTCGTATCAATGCTCATTGTTCCTACTAACGTATAAGAGCTACAATCTTTCTGCTTGGCACTAAAAGGTCTACAAAAACAGATGTATAAACACCACAGAACAATAGGCCATATACACTAGATCAATGTTCATCTGCAAGATCAGACTAACCATGTTGTTGTTAAAAGCTGACATGTATTTTATAAAGTCTCTGAATGAAAAGGAATTCATCTCTGTTTTGTTTAAAATCTTACTAAAGGATGAGTCGCATCAAAAAGCTGAAGTGCTGCTGAAGAAGTTACGCATGCAATACCAGAGGTCAGCTACAGAAAACGTGCTAATAACCCACAAGCTGAACACTACAGAACATTTAAAGCTTGTTGGGAAGCCAGCAAACCTTATTGTTTTATTGTATGAGCATAGCAGCATAGATCAAAGAATTCAAAATCCAACTGGCAAAGATTATCCAGGTTAGTATGCTTTACCTAGAGCTCTGAGGGTCAAAAGAGAATGTAGTTTTATGAACAAATCCCTTAATGAGGAATCTTTAAATATGTTTGCATTGGCTATGTTTAGATATTCATGTAGCTGCTAAGGAAGTAGCTGAAATTAACAACATAGATATGAACAAGATCTGGGATATACTGCTTGAAAAATGGCTGTGTCCAAATATTCTGCCAACTGACGTAAGTATGGATTTTTCAAGGGAGAGTATATTTTACAAAAACATGGCAATTTACACCTGAAACTTATTTTTTTCTCAGCTGCTTACAAGCAAAGTAGTAATCATTTTTTTTCTAATAACTTTAGTTTGCAGGGAGGGTGGTGGGGTAGGCCTTTCCAAGGTACTGTATTTGGTAAGAATAATTTGAATTGTTTTCCTTTCTGCCTTTAGAGAGAAAAGGATTCTTGTCCCCTGGGTTTGCCTGACTTTTCCTTAACTTGGGACTAAACTAGAGTAGGGAATGATGAAGATAGCTTTACACACCCTTGGTCCTGGGGACAGGTGGCTGCTTTCAGCTCCCATTGCAACTAAGAGTGACTTCTGCTTGATTTACCCAGTACTCAACATCTTCTGAACCTAAACAAATGAGTAGAACCTTAGCTTCAAAACACAAGCCATCAGGGTGAGGAGTAATTTGACCTTGATCAAGGGATGGTGCAAGAGAGAACAGGACTGGGATTATGACAAAATCAGAATTCCTCTTTAGGGCTTTCTTCTGAGGCGACCTAACTATGTAGCCCTTTAGGTAAGATTTGAGCAAGGGCTCAATCAAGCTTTTGAACATCATGGTTCAAATACTTCTATGATGGCTTTCATTCGCTGCCATTTTTTTTTTTTAAAGAGAACCCAGGAACTCTTCGAGGATGTGCAGGAGGATGAAGGTCTCAGGAGGTACATATGTTTGGTCACCTTGCGTAGCCCATTTTCCCAAACTCCCCGTTATGTTTTGAATACATCTGGCTCCCCAGAAAACAAACACAGTATCGCAGGTACCTGGGGCTCAGTGTCACATTCTACAGTGGGGCCAAATTCCGTTGACAGTAATGGGATCATGGTTTAAGCAAGGAATGTAGTAGTGGATCCACCATGTGAATGTTTTGAACGCGATTCAGATGACCTGCCAAACACTTGAGGCGGTGTAGTAGATTAATTGATATGAAAGTACAGAAATATGGCTGTATGTTGGATGTGGCTGAGCCTATGGGACTTTGATGTGCTCTGCTTCGTTGCAAGGGCAGTTCTGAAGCATGCTGAAAAACAATTTATAAAAACCAAGAGTGTGTCACATCTTCAATCTAAAAGTTAAAAGGCATCAGGGGAAATTTCTCTTTATATACTTGTTCTATCTGTATTTCCTGTGGGCAAAGTTAGAAACTTTAAATACTTTATCTCTTGTACAGTACCTTTCTTAGGGTACCACATGAGAGTTCTATGGATGGAAGGAAGGTCTTGCAAGATTAGGCCCATGGTTTTGTCACTGCACATATTTTAGGTTTATTTTATGCCTAGCTCATATTAATAGAGGAATATTTCAGCATGTGACCTAAACTGGGTATGGTATACTGTATTTGGATACAAAATCTAGGCAACAGTGGGTGCATCTAAACCAGCAATTAATGCAGTGTGATAAACTCGGGTGCAGTTCACGCCAGACTTAATGGTTCCTGGGCACAGTGTCTACACATGCACCCAAGATCACGGCAGTTTGAACAAGGGCAGAGCAGCCCTAGGCTGACAGCAGGCTTCGGGTGGGGATCCTGGGCTCCAGGTCAAAGCATCAGACTATGCTGGGGCATGAGAAGCCACACAGTTCTGCTCTTTAGGCATAGGTGCTGGGTAGGTGTCTGGTTGCCTGCTGGCTGGGCTTATCTGGCACAAGTTATGCCCAGGTCAGCGTTTACACATGTGTTTAAACACAGTTATTTTCACCACCGTAAGATAGTCCTGCCCCCGTAAGTACTATTTTATGGTGGCGAAAATTAGTTTGCTGAGGTCCAATAGTATTGCCCATGTAGACTCTGACACTTTACACCGCAGCAAATTAGTCTACTGTGCAGTTAAGCACAGATGTAGATGCACCCACTGTGTATCTAACAGGGCTGTGCGAAGCTTTGGTCACTGATTTGATTCAGCAGAGATTCGTCCCAATTCGGCAGCTGAATCTCTGAATCCAGATCTAATCAGGAGACCCTTCAATCTCTCCAAATTGAATTGGAACCCTCCAAATCAATTGGGAGAAATTAGATGATTCGGACATAGACACAGCTTTAAATGTTTTTTCTACATACCTCAAGGTATCAGGTGGCTTGTGAATGCTGAGATGGCGGGGCAGATGGAGCTTTCCACAGGAGCGTGGGGGAGTCCCCAGCACACTTGGCAGTGGACCAGAAGCACTTCTGGTCTACCACAGAGCACATGGAGGACCCTCCCCTGCCCCCCAGCTTGGCAACTGGTGCCTCCTCAGTCTGCAGCTGATTGCTGTGCCGGGAGAGCCCGGCAGGGTCCCCTACACGCTTGGCAGTGGACCGGAAGTACTTCCAGTCCACTTCTGGATCCACTGCCGAGCATGTGGGAGGCCCCCCTGTGCTCCTGTGGGAAGCTCCATCTGCATCACCATTGCAGCGTTCACAAGCCGCGCCTGGTACCGCATGGTCTGTAGAAAAAACATTTAAAGCTGTATCTATGTCCGAATTCCTGATTCTCCAAATCAGCATTGAATCTTCAGATCTCGATTCAGCTGAATTGAATCAGGCCAGTGATCCAAATCAACGAATCGAATCACTGTCCCCCGATTCAGGCCGAATCTGAAGCCGAATGAAATATGGCCCGTTTCGCACATGCCTAGTATCCTTTTTTTTTTTTTTGCAGAGTTATATATCTTCTTCAGCCACGCCCAATGGATTACAGCTCGAGATTGCTTTTTGCCATTACAACGTCTGCCACATCTGTAAGCTTTTTGTAAACATGCTTTAAATAACTGCTTAATATTTTTGCTGCTTTTTTTTTTTTACTTCTCATAAAACTCTTTAAATAAATTCGTATTCAACTCAAGGTTCTGTAACTTGCTTTGAGTATATTATAGGCACGTGCTAGTTTTGCACTTTCTGATCTTCTGTTTTGGGTTGAAATCCTACCCCCGTTAAAGTCTATGTCCAAGTAGAACCCAAGAATATTAGAATGATAATTCAGGCTATGAATGACCTGGCTTCCTTACTGTTCCGCAAATAATCATAATTTATCCCAAACCATCTTTTCTCTTTCAGCCTATTGGAGTTAATCAGTTGACATTTGCCCACAGAAGTAGAGCTCTTAAATGTCTGATCTACTTGGCAGACACTAGTACTGTTGAATCACTATTCAAGAAACCCATTGAGAAAGTAAAGTAAGCTGAGGGGTTTTTTCTGCAGTATGACCTCTTATATAAAACCTCTGAGGAAGTTTGTTTTGTTTTGTTTTGGGTTTGTTTGTTTGTTTGTTTTGTTTTGTTTTGTTTTTTTAGAGGGAAAGTACTACTGCAAGTTTTTGCTATCCTACTTTTTTATAATTGTAAAAGCACACTTGGGTGCTCTGGGTTACAATCCCACATTGGACTGCACCATGATAACATCCATTAAGGACTATGGGGTGTGAAAAAGATTTGTAATTTCTTTCTTTGTATAAACTTGTTTATTACTGTAGAATGTAAAGTATTTTTGTTCATGGCCCTTTTTGGGGATCTTTCCTTAAGTACAAACCTTCCTTTGTGTAAAAGATACCATTATTAGGCATTTTTGGAAGGATATGTGCCTCTGCAGAGACGTTGTGTAACTTATTTCTTTGAAAGTCTCTCTTGTATAGCTAATTCCACTAAATTTACTGAAAATTTGGACTGTGGATATTTATCTGGAGACGATATAGATAATATCTGTGCTGCATTATACTTTGCATCTCCCGACATGCGTTTTCTGTAAATATATCATCTGTATACATGAAATGTCAGCATAAGAGTTGCAGTAAGAATTTAATCACTAGAAGTACTGGAAAATTGCTAGGTCTAGTAATCTTTCTTTCACAAGGCTGACATATTTGTACCATCACCTTACTTTTTAAACGACAGCACATTAAAATTAATCCTAAAATTGATTATAACTTTTGAAAACTTCATGGATTTTAATATATTGCTATAAACATCACACCTCTTCTTATTTTGCAGGTATTTTCTAAAATGCTTCATTTACTTGGCAGAGTTTGAAATCTTGAACATTCCCTA